CAAGCGTCTAAGGCCCAAAATGCGAGCTGTTGACTGACCTGTAACAAGAATCAAAAAAGGTTCGTGAAACCGTCATCTGTACACTCAGTGAAATTATGGTGGAGTGAGGTTCAAAGGTCCTGAAGTGAAACGAGTGGAAAATATCACTGAATTCGCTTTGAACGAGATAGCACCATAAAGCAGTCTTCCAACTTTGTCGAGCTTATTTTCCCTATCCTGGTAGGTTTATGCTGGCGGATCGGATGTATATTCTTGTAGATCGTGGATTTGACCTTTTAGGGAACCTGTCAACTGAAGCAGACAAACCATTCGTTTCTTTTCAACGGATTTGGGGCTATGATGGGAATTGTGGATGGAGCTATAATTTTGTCATGTGAAGTCCCAATTAAAGTGTTCTCGTTCTACCTCGGTTTTAGCGTAAAGACCTTTGAACAGGGTGGTGTTATTGCGGCATTGTATTCATCAAATGATGCGCCTCTCAAGTTATCGCATTCAGTGACACAACTTCCTTCCTTGTTTGCATTTCATGGCTGGTAAAAGGAAGCCTTGGTAAACGATCTGTGAGCAGCGGGAAGCGGTTCAAAGAGCCCCTTCACCAAGTTCACTATAAATTTACAGCCTCAGCAGTGTTTTCGAAGCACTTCTAAGGTTTGCGGTGTGTACGTGAATTATTGGTTTTTTTAATTACTTAGAATCATCGGCAGTTTAAGTTGGTATAATAATGGTGTCTATGGTTGGATAAATTATTGCAACTAGGCCAAATCATACAATAGATAAGTGTCTTACCAGTTCAACGTCATCAGTTAACGCCAAGGTGCTAACTGTTAATGTGGTTCTTAGTCGCCGGTCGAATCGNAGGCACTGGAAGGGTGCTACAGCTGAACGCTTTTTTATGTATCTATGCGTATGTGTATCCATTTATACATCCAAAAAGTAAAAAAATCTAGACTAGAGCCTACAATGATGCCAGAAGTGCTGTTCTGTAACCACTGTTGTACAGAATAAACGGAATGATGGCTAGCACCAGCTAACCATATGTGTGCAGTTTTGCGTAGTGTATGAGTGTTGCCGGCCATCAATCCTCCGGGTCATACATTGCGGATGGGAGCGTTTCACACTTAATACTGGAAGATCGATAGGATCGGATGGCACACCAAAGCGGATCGTCACCTGCAAGTTTTTTTGAGTGGAGGTGACTCTCACTTACCTGAAGCCACGCGCTTGTAGCTCGGATGGATCAGAATGAAGTACACTCCGCATGCAGTCATTCTAAAAGACAGCGTGGATCAGGCTAACTGAAGTGAGGTCAAATGCCCGTTCTCACATAGGAATAAAAAGCTTTTTGATAGGAAAGTAGCCTATAGACCGCCAGTCAGTCTGCTGGTCTTCCACTCCCAATCTTTCATTTCGACAACCCGAGTACCTTCGAATCGGCAGATGGAATCACCAATAAATTGAAGAAAGGCTATCGTGGAGGCCCTTATACCTGTACTAATTATCTTACTAGCAGAATCAAACTCAATTGTCCAGCTTGAAGGATAAACCGCTCAGAAAACAGCTGTCAGGCATGTTGCTTCTTCGCTAATTTATGATTTCCAAAATCCAAGTACCTTTGATTTGACAGGCTAGGAAGTTTTTCACTTCTTACGCATGATGTCCAACAAAAAGTTGTTTATTCACCTACGTACCATTGTGTAATACAGTAAACAATTTCCTGGGGAAGTTTGGGCGCGTGAGGGTCAAAAGCCATAAAAAATAAACTAAGGGTTGTAATAGCGATTCGGTATTTTTGGCAAGTCCACTGTGAAACTAGTTGAGCGATACAGTTCCCTTCATATGAAACGCTTTTCAATCGATTTCATCTCAATCCTGCTCTTTGATTAAAATAAATGAATAGTCCAAATAAGTATTTTGGGATCTTAGATACAGCTTTCTGGTTAGTATGAAAGTGCGTGATGTGTGTGATCCAATCACCTGCTCCATAAAACCTTGAGAATCTCGTCTATGTGCAGATTGTGATGAACAGTTTAATTTTTTTTCTACCATCGTTCGCATATATAATCTTTCAAAACAGTATCAGTTGATACTTGATGGGCCCATCGGGGACTCGAACAGTAGTTCGGCCTGAAGAAATATATTTCAAGGATATTCCACTCATGCCACACTTTATGATCGATACTTTCCTCTTAAAGGTACGAACAGTTGACGAATACTATCCGGCTTTTTAAACTTTCGTTGTCTCTATAGGGATGTGCCTGAACTGGAAGCCGCTCATCGGCAATAGAAATTTAAATGTTAAATGGCTAGACGTTTCCTGTAGGCTGCTTACTCGTGCACCCAGAACTTCGACAGAACATCCGTTCTCTTCCTTAAATCATATCCACTATCCTTCCTTACCTGAACACTGTCTTGTACATATGGGCATTAGCGCGGTATAGTGAGAATCGTCCAACCGAGCCACTTTCATGTGTCGCTGCCTTAAAATATTGTGCAAGATCATGCGAAAACTTACCCACGGTAACCAGGTTATTCACACTAACCTGTACTTGACGCAGCATGGTTTGATTAACTTCAACGGTGTCATACTGCTACGCAGAACTCTAAAATTTCAGGATGGGGTGGGAATATTCTTGAAGGGTGTGAATTTACTATGACTCTCTGTACTGGATTCAAAGACAATGAATTTAGTTAGCTCGCGATCTTTTCCATAAGTATTATAGTGTACCTTGATGTTTCAGTTTCTCACATGGCAAGCTCTCAAATTGATTCCAGGTACTTTGGAAGATGAAGTAAGCATTCGCATACAGGATGAAATGAAGCGCACTGCTCACGGTTACATTCCACGCGTAGCAAGGAGCCCGCGTTCTGGACATCTGTGACCTGCCATCGAAATCCCATCATTGCAAAACTGGACATTTTTTCTTGTTTTGTGCATACTGCTTTTCATATTTGTTGAGTCATTAGTATCAGCCATGGATGTCGACTGTTGTTGTGTCAAGTTACGGCCTAGGTGTCTAATTTAATCAGAAAAAGCCTTATTCTAGATAAGTGTATTCTGAGGAAAATTACCCCGGTCGTCTAGAGGAGACAACTTTCCAGGACTGATTCCCAGTTAGCGACGATGTTACAGACAATTCACGGACGCTAATAACGACGAACGTAGGAGAGGACCTTAGGGAGCGCCTTCTGAGATAGGATCTCAGAGCGTTTCCCATCTCCTTCAACCATACTGGCTAGGAGTCCCCCAAACATACCCGTTTGCTCCAAATCGGTCAGAATGCCTGTATGAGTCTTTGGTGGCACACGCGTATATGACCCAGTTTGGCATAAAAGCAATCGTTTGCCAGTTAAAATGTAAGCTCTCCTTATGTAGACCAATTACGGCGATATTGTTTCCGCTTGTCTCTTAAACCCAAATTATGTAGAAGCACTTTTCTGGTTAAACCTCTGGAAATGGAATTGAGCTGTATCACTCATAGCCCTTAGCACTAAATATAACAAGCGGATACTGAGCCATGTTCTCTGACTTGTCCGTAATCATCGTTGATTTATTTACGAACCAACGGAAGGCTCAAATATAGCACTGTAAAGCTCGACATTAAAGTGGATCATCTCGACCGATATCCTCCGTAGAAAGCTCTTACCTAAAAGTGTAGATAACAAAGGTGCACTCCATTAAGATATTAGAGGTCTAATTATTGGTTTACATTTTCGTTTCTAAACAGTGCCGGCTTATCTGGATCCACCGAAAATCATTCCAGTCGGACCGGCCGATACCACAACGGTATTGACCGCCGCTCAGATACAGAACAACCAGAGGACGAATATCGTCGAGGACAAACCACGTTTGATCGGAACGGGGACCCTTGAGGATCCGATAGACCTAACTGGTCGAGTACCAAACTCAGTCACCGAACTGATCATTCAGTCTCAATCCACTTGTGCGTCAGTGAAACATGACTTACAGTGGAGATGCGAAAATTCGGTAAGCTCCATCACCGCAGTGCACTTCCTTGATTTCGCTTTGTCCCGTCTCACTTCACACACACCTTAAAGGTCCCAATGTTCTACGCTCTTTTTGCACTGAAAATATCATGCGCTTTGTCTTTATCTTTGAGGCTTGGCCTTTGAGTTACTCCCAATCCAAACAGTCACACCTTGCCTACGAGCCTGGCCTCGAGATAACTCAGGGGATGAGGCACACCGGAAGGTTGGTGGTTCGAGCAGAACCTCAGCATCCCGACTACCCATGTCAACGTTTGGGGAACCCGACAGTGTCTTAGCCCTCATATTTACATCAGCAGGCATGGCAGCTATGCGTAGAAAGGGGGTTACAACCGTAGGATTACTTTATAGCACGTTTCTTCCAGATTCGTGATTTCGTGCGTTGGTGTGGGGAAGCAAGGAGAGCTTTTCCGTGGTCTATTTGTTTTAAAAATATCTCCCAGCACTTAGTTCCCTTACTGAATTTGAAAATATTAGCAGTACTGAACAGTTAATGCAACTTTGAGGTGTATATTCACGATTAATAATACCAGTTGCAGCCACGAGTAGGCATGGTCGGATTGTGTGGACATAATAGCGTAGTGGTTGACGCGTTTCACACCCTCAAAAGCTGGTATGCGTTCGTGCTACTCAGAGATGTTGAACTGAACAACTTGCAGCCTTGAACTCCATCAGATTAAAGCCCTGTAGTCTGCACGGCGGGTGTACAGAGAAACAAGCGTCTAAGGCCCAAAATGCGAGCTGTTGACTGTCCTGTAACAAGAATCAAAAAAGGTTCGTGAAACGGTCATCTGTACACTCAGTGAAATTATGGTGGAGTGAGGTTCAAAGGTCCTGAAGTGAAACGGGTGGAAAATATCACTGAATTCGCTTTGAACGAGATAGCACCATAAAGCAGTCTTCCAGCTTTGTCGAGCTTATTTTCCCTATCCTAGTACGTTTATGCTAGCGGATCGATTGTATATTCTTGCAGATCGTGGATTTGACCTTTTAGGGAACCTGTCAGCTGAAGAAGACAAACCATTCGTTTCTTTTCAACGGATTTGGGGCTATGATGGGAATTGTGGATGGAGCTATAATTTTGTCATGTGAAGTCCCAATTAAAGTGTTCTCGTTCTACCTCGGTTTTAGCGTAAAGACCTTTGAATAGGGTGGTGTTATTACGGCATTGTATTCATCAAATGATGCGCCTCTCAAGTTATCACATTCAGTGACATAACTTCTTTCTTTGTTTGCATTTCATGGCTGGTAAAAGGAAGCCTTCGTAAACGATTTGTGAGCAGCGGGAAGCGGTTCAAAGAACCCGTTCACCAAGTTCACTATAAATTTACAGCCTCAGCAGTGTTTTCGAAGCACTTCTAAGGTTTGCGGTGTGTACGTGAATTATTAGTTTTTTTACTTACTCAGAATCGTCGACAGTTTAAGTTGGTATAATAGTGGTGTCGATGATTGGATAAACTATTGCAACTAGGCCAAATCATACGACAGATAAGTGTCTTACCGGTTCAACATCATCAGTTAACGCCAAGGTGCTAACTGTTAATGTGGTTCTTAGTCGCCGGTCGAATCGATCAATCTTGGCGTCTCAGGTGCGCTTCTCACGTACGTCGTGCTCACAATTAGCTACAAACCCCACGCCACTGGTTTGCCCATCGTTTAATGTAGTCAGCGACCTTGAGACAACCAAATGGACTATTTTAATCGCAGGTTGGGAACCTATGGAGCTCAGCAACGTCCCCAAACAGGGTTATTAGTTCAAGTGAGATGAACAACTTTGCTAAGTACGACAACAAACCCCCAGGATCGATGGGCTGAGAGAGAGAGAGAGAGAGCTCCAAACCAGATGACATCGGTGCCGAACCCAGATCGCGCAGAGGAAAGCGTGACATTTCCCAGACGGTTTGTTACAGAGCATCAGCTTACACACACACACACAGGGTTCAGTCTACTACCGGAAGATGCATTCTGACGTACATATCTGAACAAGATTGTTTCGCAAGTTTTGGGGAAAAAACAAACCAGTATTAGTAGCCATGAAAAGCTGGCTGAATATATGTGAACGTTAGGGGGAAAACAGCAACGAGACATCCTACCTTAAAACAGAATCCGATGTTGATAGACTGATCTCATATCTGAACAAGATTGTTTCGCAAGTTTTGGGGAAAAAACAAACCAGTATTAGTAGCCATGAAAAGCGGGCTGAAAATATGTGAACGTGAGGGGGAAAACAGCGACCTAACTACTTTAAAACAGAATCCGATGTTGATAGGCTGATCAAAAAAGATCCGAACGGACATCTCGATTTTGGCCGTCTGCGGCCGTTTGTAAATTTTTATGTGAAGCCGGTATTCCACATGACAATCCACCCACTGTTGATTAGGTAAAAAGAATGCCACGGGATCTACATGCCTCCCTAGCTGTGGCCCACAGGATCCTGCTTGTTAGTTATTGGAAACCTTGCAGGACATGACACGCAGCCGATCCCACTGGTGCGTATGCCGTAATTTCCTAGCCGGACTGCCTGTCCTTTTGCGCTGGGCTCAAATCTGGTGAGGTTGGCAAAAGAGGCTGGTTTCACCCTGCTGGTAGCGCCTTACTTCAATATGATGCTCAAATGTGTTTAGCTGAATGCTGTCCAAAGGTGTGGGCACCATATCCCTAATCGATTCCCATAACGACAGAAAACTTGCTTGCAATGAGTCCCTACCATACCATACTCTTTTCTTTGCTTAGGCTTTTTTCCTTCATGGTTAGATAGCAGTCAAGCAGCAGTATGTAGTACTAGGGCATTGCTGTCAATAGTGTTGCTGATTGTGGCAACCCGAAATGGACTTTGCAACGTTGGCCAGGCTAGTCAGTAATTGCCGGGGCGAAGATAGAGAAATCATGCAACTGTCCGTAGGAGAAGACAGTCGTGCTGTTACACCGTTTTAGTCGGTATGATCACATTTGCTGTACGACTGTTTTAGTTCCGATCCATTCTTTGAACCACGAGCCGCTTTGAGTAGGGTAAGTTTAAATCCATCATTCAGATGAACAGAAACGGCTAAATGAAGCGATAACGCTCTCGGTTCGGCATTGAGAAAGGTGAGACATAGCAGCTGATTCTGGAAGGACCAGCTTCATTTAACATCTTGGACAATGTTTAGATATTTTACTGCTAAGGCTCTGGGGATAGAGCCGTTAACACTTGAACCGAATGAGATCAAGACGACCCAGCAACCAAAAGCACTGAGGATGAATCTTCACAAGACAACCACTCCGGTTCAGCAACTCCAATTTATGACGCTGCATGTCTTATTTTTAGCAGCCGGTAGCAACATCACCAGCGTGCGCCCATTATAAGAGGCTTTTGGATTAAAAAGTTGGGAGAAAATATAAAAGGGCCTCGAGGAAGAACAATAGAGGTTGGAGTAAGCAGAAATGCTAGTCTTACAAGTAGATGGAGTGCGAAAGTCTCCCAGCTACTTGATCAGACAATGTTCAACACCCCTTTAAGCAACATTTGGTAGAAAAAGCTCTCTTCCAAAACTACCACAACTAATGAAGTGAGCTATGAACAACGCAATGTTATACAGTTCATTCATTACCGAGATAACTGAGTGCAACATGAAAGCTTCGGCTTCAAGGATGTTAGGCGAACCGACGAGGATTATCGTTCAGTAGAGCGACAGCTGCTCGAGTCTTTTTCGGAAAGCCTCAGGGGTACCCGTGTACAAGAACTTTTCCTTTTTCAGACAATTAACCAACAGTCAGCTTTGTCAATGGAAAGACTGAATGGCAAACAACAGGAGACAGGAAGCCGGGGTCACTCTCTTAAGAACTTGGTTGTTTTGAACCATATATCTTTTCGAATGTGCCGCCGGATGATACGAACCTAATAAATCCACGGGAACAACTTTATAGCAGCCGAGACTTTAGTAGACATAACATACGAAAGAGACAATATACAATGAATATAATGTTTGCACAATTATGGGTCTATTCCAGTTAAGCTTTTGAGGTATATGTTAATTTTACCGTGACTAGGAACGGTGACACGCAATCTTCCTACGAACTATATTCTTCTGTTTATTCTGACGTCCGGCGGTTTCTGTGGATACTGCTGTCCTCAGTTATAATCAGTGGTCCCTATTCCAGAAGTTGACGTTATGTGTTACTTTACGAACATCAAGAAACCCTCTTTTTATCATGATGCTAACCTATCCATAACCCCATGGTGTAATCCAGAGTATGGCTTTAGGCCATAGAACAAATGTCATTTGATACCAAGTCCGAAATCCAGTAACCAAGAGTCATCTCATTCACTGATCCCCACAGACTCGGTCTTTCTCATTACGTCCATCTGTTGTTCAAGCCATTCCGGATACCGGTACTAGACGACTTGGAACCCTCAGTTTTGCTCCACAACTTCCATGTCCTAACGGTCTGTATTCTATTACCGGACAAGTCAGGATCGGTTGCGATTCACGAATGAAGACAAGCAGTTCGTCTGACCGCGGGACGAGGGAAAACGCACTGGTTGGACTCAATCGTATCAAATGTACGCCCAATCATGGTCGAGACCAGGCGTTCATTGATCAGACTTTTAGTAGAGAGGCAGCAAATCTATATGCCCAGAGAATCTCATCTATGCAACTTACGTCTAGCGGTTTCTATGATGACTGTCTTCCAATTGATCCGACACAACGTAATAAGCAGCGGTCAGCTTGTGTGTATGTGCTATGCCCCGGTGAGTGTTTAAAATCCTTTACTTTATCTCCGTTGTTTCTTCACCAAACGCTGGGTCAATCTCAGTGTAAATCGCAACTTGGCCCGAATAACTTCTCATTTGAACAATCCTCGTCATACGCCACAGTACAGAGACCCATAAACACACGTTAGACCCTCACAAGTTAGACCGTTTTGCCTGGATAATGAGGTTGCAGGCATGTTGGTATGCCACATCCCGAACCTTTCCTAATTACTTATTCAATCAACTATACACAAGCCGACAGTTTAGGTGAGTAGCTATTAAGGACCCGTGTTTTTTGCACTGGAATTTTCATGTTTTCTGCGGCAAAGTGCTCACTTTTACACGCTGTGAAGTGGAGAATTCTAAGTTCTGTCATGCTCGTCATTTTAGTCAAAAGGTTATGGTTTATTGATTCTGAAAACCCAATCTCCTTCTCCAGAATATCTCGCTAATCTTCAAACCGACTGTTCACAAAAGTTAGGTATTGGCTGCTCCTCATACCCGCCTGGTGTTAAAGTCAACCTAAATAGGAGTTCCCTTTCGATATCTGGGAGTCCAAGGGACTTAAGTCGCCTTGGACACTCGCTTGTATATGATCGGATTAACAGTCTATACCCAACTTTACGGCATACAAATCAAGTGGGGAGATAAAGACAGTTTTTCTTTCAAAATGTGTTCCTTCCGCAAGCTAGAAAGCAAAAACTGACCGTTTGAGCAATCTGTTTGGTGTATTATCTCAGCTCAGGTCATTTCAGCCTCCGGATTTTCCCAAAACAACTTCGGTGGAAGCATTCAAACTTACTGAATGACATTCGGTGGCCCTGAAAACCACCGAACTCCATCATTGGTTGGTATTATCCTCCATATCCATTACTGCCGCCCCCTACATAGCAGACGCCGGACGCACTCCGCACGCTCTTCATTAGCCTCCATGTGATCTTAAAAATATCTTGTCATCATTATGATTCATTAAACTGATCTCAAAGCAGTTCACACTACTCGATGTGCACCGACCAATGTTGTAATTCATCATCATGGACAGCATGACATCATTGTCCAACACTGACCAATGCTTAGTGTGGGTTATATTGCGTATGCTCCGCACGGGTCACAACATTTGTGAGGTAGCTTCTAATTCAGTTCTAGTTTAGGTGTGCGGTCCGTGCTTTTTCTACCCAAGGCCGTATTTGGGGCTGTGGTCGTAGCTCCTTCTCAATTAAATATCGGTTGGTTTCTTGTTGCTTAACCGATTAGACTGGCCTTGTCTGCAAAGTCTTGCGATGCAAACGCATCCCCGTATGTATCGTTTGCACACGCTTGACTGTTCTTCACGGAGCATTCTAGTGTAGGTTGATCATCTTCTTTGAGAAGCTGGTGGATCTGTTCATCAGTCCTGATACCTGACAGACGTTAATTTCAGAGTATTACATGGGTTGTTGACATTCTCTCCATTTTTATTAGAATCGCTTATTGCCTGACATTCCCTCTGTTGCTGAGCTGTTCTGAATTACATGCGTAAAATGAGGACAAATCTGTCTTCATGTCATCCGGCCATACACTGAAGGCGGAAAACCTAGCAAGCAAGAAGGACCATTATATATA